GTGTGCCAGTCGAGCTGTTTGGGGCAGCTGCCCTGTAGGCACTGGAGCGTGCTGCCCAAGCAGACCAGGCAGCAGCTCTCGGGTCTTCATAGGCCTGTGCCCACTCCCAGCAGGCTCAGGGGTCCCTCTAGCAGCCGCTCTCAGCCACCAGCTTACAGTGGTGGTCTGCGCAGGTCCCAGCGGTCCACTCATCCGCCTCCCGGGGCTTCTAGGCGGCCTCGTGCCTCAGAGCCTTACCGGCGCCCCCCAGGGGGCTCCGGAGGCTGAGGGGTTAGGCCCCGAGACTCTCGGGGACGGTCGTCGGCTGCTTTCCTAGCAGCAGCTCAGTTACTGGGCTGTCTGTACTTCCGGCCCTTGGGTGGTTTTCACCTTAACACAGTGGTACGAACCGCAGTTCCGGCCCCTAGCCTTCGGCTGGGCCAAAGTGACAGTCGTCAGCGATCCGGCAGAGGCCCTAGCTCTGGCCCAAGAGTTGTCCGTCCTTCTGTCCAAGGACGCAATCGAGCCAGTAGACCCTCTGCTTAGCCCAGGGGGTTCTACTCAGCGTATTTTCTCGTGAGCAAGAAAGTCGGCGGATTTCGCCTGATCTTGGACCTCAGAGGAATCAACAGATTCCTGAAGGTGCTGCCACTCTATATGCTGACTACAGCACATGCACAGCCGTGGACTTGAGGGATGCCTACTTCCACGTGGGCCGGGCAACATGGTGCCTTATATTCAGTTCCTCCGGCCCTTGGGCAGGCTGCCTCGGCCATTAGGCCATTGGGCTCGCTGTCGTTGCGCCCCATGCAGATGTGGCTGAACAGCCTTCACTTGGACGCCAAGTGGCGCAGGAAAGTCAGGGTGTTGCAGCGTTGCAGGGCCTATCTCCTGATGGGCGTGCCCATGGGCGCCATCCCATCCCGCCAGGAGGCCGTCACCATAGGTGCAGGTCTCTCAGGGTGGGGTGCAGTACGGCAGGGCAGGACCGTTCAGGGTCAGTGGTCTGCCTAGGAGGGTGCACGCCATGCCAACGTGCTAGAGCTTCGGGCTGTGCAGCTTGCACTCACGCACTTTCTACCCCAACTGGGGGGCAAGAATGTGCGTGTTCCTTGGGACATCATGTACGCTGTTGCCCAGACAGCAGTCCCTTCTAGACAGTGGGCGTTCTCACTCCACTCTGAATTTATGTGGCTGCTATTTCTGCCCGACATATTCAGGTCGACGGCGCCACGGCGGGGTGCCACAGGTCTCTTCCTAAGAGGGGCTTTACGGCAGCATCCCCCTAGCACCCCTAGGGCTCCGGCTTGGGACCTGCCCCTGCTGCCGGATGCCCTATCATCTCCTCCCTTCGAGCCCCTGGCCCAGGTGGAGCTTAAGTAACTGTCCTTAAAGGCAGCATTTCTGCTTTCCATGACCGCAGGGAAACGAGTTGGAGAGCTACATGCCCTCTCCGTGAGCAATACATGCCTGAGGTGGAACTCCGATGGCTCGGGTTTTGCCCTCTGGCCGAACGTGGCATTCCTGCCCAAGGTGCTTCCACTAGCCCACTCCAATCGGCCTATCCAGCTGGCGCGCTTTAACGTCCCACAGGAGAACGGCACGCCTGAGTGGCTGTGCCCTGTGCGTGCCCTAGAGGCGTATATTGGTGCTACGGCCCATATACGACAGTCAGAGCAGCTCTTCATTTGCCATGGCGGCACGAGAAGGGGCTGTGCTCTCTCCAAGCAGCGACTGTCCCACTGGGTTGTGGATACAATCTCACATGCCTATGGGGCCAGTGGCCGCCCCCCCCATCAGGGGTGAGATGTCACTCTACAAGGAGCATCTCAACGTCTTGGGCTGCCCTGAGAGGGGTGTCCCCGGAGACAATCTGCGCCTCGGCGTCGTGGGCATCGTCTGGCACATTCTCCAGGTTCTACCGGGTCAATGTCGCCACTCCCCATCCTTTGGGCGTGGTCCTGTTGCCGTGCTCCGCTGCTTCCAGTAGTGAGCAAGGGCTTGGATTCTTCATGACATGGTTGGTATAGGTCATCCAGTGCTAAAAGCACCGCCTCTGGCAGTAAGTAGGGACGAAATAGAACGATAGTTACGGCTGTAACTACGGTTCTATGAGTCCCGGATGACCGCCAGAGTTTCCGGTCACTCAGAATTCTTGTGTGCTCGCGAGAAGATTCTGGGAACCGATCCACTAATGACGCCGGCCTATGTAGCCGTAGTCACGTGGGTAACAGGTGACTTTGTTGTTATTAGGTACTCGAACTGCGCATGCGTGCGATGGACATATCCAGTGCTAAAAGCACCGCCTCTGGCGGTCATCCGGGACTCATAGAACCGTAGTTACAGCCGTAACTATCGTTTATCGTCTCTCCTGTTTTTGTGCTTAGTGCGTACGCATGGGTTAGAGTTTGCGTGGAGGACCGCACATTTTCCCGTCAAGTTAGTATTTTATAAATCGCAAACATTGCGTAGAAACTGGCGTACGCCATCTTTTGAGCGTATATCCCTTTATAAATGAGGCCCCTGGTGATTGATTGACATGTGCAGTAATGCACTATCTAATTCTTCAATTTTTAGTCGATCGTCCATATACTGTTTAAAAGGATCATCCATTGTCTTTTTGAATTCTGTAATTTTACTAAAAAAGTTATCACAATTTTCTTTAGAAAACTTTGAGTTATATAAATTGCTATAAAAAAAGTCTAATTTCTTCGTTTATCTGGTCTTGATTTTCAATAGTGACATCATTAACACTCAGTTTTTGGATTTTCTTTTTCACTTGTCTTTGCTTTTCAAGATTGAAGAAATAAGAAGTGTTTTTCTCTCCTTGCTCAATCCATCGGGCTCTCGAACGAATAAAAGCTCCCTTAGCTTTTTCCAAATACATATTGTCTAATTGAGTTTGTAAATTGTTCAGTTTAATTTGCTCATCCAATGATAACTCAGCTTTAAGGCATAAATTATTAATTTCACTTGTCATCTCTTGTTGTTTTTGTTTCTTTAATCTAGAGGAGTATTTACTGGAATTTATCGCAATCTGTCTCACACTAAATTTAAACCATTCCCATTTACTGAGAGATGACATATCCAAAAGCCAGAGTTCTTTTATCAGTTGTTTGATCTTTTTACAAAAATATGCATTCTCCAAAAGACTATTATTGAATTTCCATATAGGTTTAAGATTGGGACTGAAGTTGCATAGTAAAAAGGACAAAGAGATGACACAGTGATCAGTCAGAGGTGATGCTGAAAATGTCACACTTTGAGACATTATTAGTTAAACTAATAGAGATTAACCAATAATCGAGCCTAGAACACTGACCATTGTTAGAAGAGTTAAACCAGGTATATTGTGACTTTGAGGGATTATTTATTCTCCAAACATCAGTAAATTAAGTTTAAGAGGCCAAGTGAATAATAGAATCATTAAAATTATGACAATGTCCCCTTAAAGGAATACGATCTAACCACTCAGTCAGGAACTACATTAAAATCCCTCCGATTATAATCTTATCAGTCATATAAAGTACTTTCCATTCCTCTAATGTTTGGCACAAGATTGAAAGAAAATTATTGTTTTAATCTTTCTGTTATATCCATAAACACAATAATTAGTTAATTAGTCCCATTAACATCAGTCACAAACCGTGACCGTTTGTATCACTCCTGTGGTCAATTATATTTCCAGGTAACCTGTTAAATAGAATCATCACTCCAGCCGAATGTGATGTTTCCATGCTAGTAAAAAAATGTTGTCTCTCCCCATTGTACTTGCATGTTAAATACAAATGCCCAGCATTCTGCGCCACTCTATGACGTAGTATACTTGAAATAGTTGCTCTGCAGCATGTGTACTCACGATTGAGAAACGGCCACGGTGGCTTTGAGGTAACGTAAAAATGTTAAGTGCCTTATCTAGTGCCGGAAATTGGTTTGTCCATTCTGGGCTGCTGTTGAATCGGTTTAAACATGGTGGTGCAACATTGTGGACATACTCTCTATATACATATAAATAGCTTACTCTAATTCAATAAAAAACAAAGATTCTTAGTTTTAAGAGATTTGGTCATGGTACAACTGGAGCGAAGGGGACCCAAATGCAGGAGACAGACCTTTATTCCTTTACCTTTATGCAAGACAAGGCAAGGCACACATCATTTTACAAGCTTTGACATACGAGGATCCAACAAGACTAACAGAGGACCAAAATACAAGTAGAACTAATCACATAGACAAGACACAGCTGGAGAGGGCAGGCAGAAAAAGGGCAGCATGGTGATTACACACAGGTGGAAAGAATCAGGGCGGGGCAGACAATCACAAAAAGGCGGGAAACACAAAGACAGGAAGCAAAAGCAAAACCAGAATTATTTTTTTTTTAAACATAATGATATATATTACATTTAATTTCTGCTAATACCATACACTGGCCCTTTAAATACGTCAAATTCTCTGAATGTTAGGTTTATTGTTTTTAGATTTAACAATAAATACCATGCATGCAAATGTTTTATTTTTAGGTTGAGTTCCAAATAGCTTAGGCAAGGCAAGTTTATTTATATATCACTTTTCTGTATGCGACAATTCAAAGTGCTTTTTGTTTATGTCGTCATACCTACTTCCGAGGTCTGCTATTGGATGACTCAATGCTTGGAGGAGGGCCTATGTGAAAGGATATAATTGTTTTGTATTTAACAAGTTGTTAAATGAATAGTAAGTTCAAACAACATTGCGGTTTGAACTTAATATAATAATCAAACATAAATGTTGCTAAATGTAACTTTTATTTTCTTGATGTAAATTCAGTGATAGGCTAGTGAGTTTTGCGGCCTGCGGACAAGGGTGCCCAGCAACTATTTGATTATGTCGAGAACAATTCTAAAATGATTAACAATGGGAATTGGTTTTAATGTAAATGACAAGACACACAAAAGTATAAAAATGGGAAAAGCGAGATAAGTATCGCGGTTCGTAGTCCTAGTTTTTTTATCTAGCGGCCCTGTTGTGACGTGTAGACTCACCTTTGTGTGAAGCAGAGGGGTGAGCTCTCTTCATCGCAGCCTGGTAGTTCTCATACAGGGTGGTCCCATACTGAACACACATAGGACACACACATGTTTAAGTCTTTGACAATGTTGCAATCTCTATATTTGCTATTTCTGTGCATAGAATTTTCAAATTTGAAATTGAATGTCATATAGATTTCTAATCTAACTGCCCACATTAAAGTGATTTTTGTTGCAGTGTTGAATCTGACCTTAGCTATCCTGATGGAGTTGACCCAAAGCAGCAGTGTGTGCTCATCGTCACAGCACAGGAACTTGATGTAGTCAGACTCATTCTGGATGCAGGGATGCTGTGAAAGAGACAGAACCGTGATGTTTAAGGGAAATACCATAATTTAGTATTTTACTTCCATAAAATGGTATGACTTGAGAGAAATATTAAAAGAAGAATTGTCAAAACTGATGCAAGATCTCCCAAATGTCACTCCCAAATATGGATCAAACTGTGGTAACGCTGTGTACTACACTTCCCATAATGCAACTCAGTAGTGTCTTTGGTAGATTCTTCCTTCTTGGTAAATGCTAACGTCCAGCAAACTCTACTGCCCTAGTTTGAAACACGAACTCTCAGTTTTAAACGTGTAGCCTAAAGCTAAGATAAACAGGATGACATCACTATGACATAATTGGGGTCATTTCCTGTTCCCTCATTTCTGTTCCCAGTTTCATGTATTTGTAGTACACATAAAAGCCAGCAGAGGGCAGCTGATACCAAGATGTTGCTGCACTGAGGGCCTTGGCACATAAATGACAGTTTTTGACTGGGATTGTGGCTCTTGATTAACTAAATCAAAATGAAATAAGACAACAATTGGAAATGTGTATAAGTAAACACAATACTATATTTATTAGTATCGGTGAAAGAGGTATCAGATATAGCAAATGGCAACAATACATTGTAAAAATACTAAGTTACAAGTAGTCCTGCATACAATATGGAATAAAAGTATGAGCATCAACACATACTTTAAATACCAAAAAGTAAAAAGGTTCTCAATATGTATTTTGGCCTATTTCAGATTCAAATTAATTACATTTGTGTACTATTTATTGATACATTATGTCTGTTTTCATCCCTTTTAATGTTGCAGATGATAAAAGTGTGGTTTATTTCAATTACTTTATATTCTGCTGGGCAGCTTAAACTATGATAATATATCATCATTTACTAGTTGAATTATATTTTGTATAAATAACAAAGTAGCTAGTAACTAAAGCTGTAATATAAATGTTAAATCATTACTAAAGTACAGTACTGAAGTAAATGCACTTAGTAACATTTCACCATTGTTTACAAGGCCAGGGTCACATGTTTGAGAAGCATTTGTTCTACTGTCACACATTTACATTAACAATTCAAATGTTTTCTTGAGTCCTCTTACTTCCCCACACACACACACACACACACACACACACACACACACACACACACACACACACACACACACACACACACACACACACACACACACACACACACACACACACACACACACACACACACACACACACACACACAAAAAAAACCCTCCGTGTCGAAGTGACACTCGCAGCTCAACGAGGCTCCCTCCTGTCAGATGGAGGGAGTAAATACAGCGGCAAGCTTTGGGACAAACTCCCCTCTCTCCGGCAGAAATAGGAAATGCCGTAACAACATCTCTTAGGCAAAAAATTCAAATGAATAACTAAAATAAAACATCTTTAATTGTGCTTTTTTGTAAAGCTCTTTTAGTTGTAAACCTGATGTTTATAAGCTTCTTAGTTTTTGCAACAGTCTGTAAATATACCCGACTTTATAATAAAATGCACACATTTACCTTTTTCTAGACTAAACACAGGTATACGATCCTAAGTAAAAAAAAAAGACGAGGTTATCATGAGGTTGTTAACATCGCAGTTTATCAGTGGATGTTTGCTGGAACTACTTGTAAACAGCGTGTTTCCTGACAGACACACACAGCGTTGAGTCCGGTCAGGTAGTGACCGGTTTCAAGCCAGAACTCAGCACCGATGCAGACTCGCTGTTTGAGGGGTAGTGTGTAGGGGTAGGGTGTAGGGCGTGGTTTGGGATTGGGCCTTAGTTCCACTGTTCTCTCTCTCTCTCCTTTATTCATCGACAATGAAAACCGTATGGTACCCCAAGTAAGTGTTGACATACTGCAACAGAGACAACACTGACCCTGTTGTTAAGAAGAAAAAGAGCCTAACCCTGCACAATAACCCTAACCCTTTTTTTAATTAAATCCGATGATCATTACCAAGTCTGTAATTTTCTCCCAATGCCGAGTGTGATTCGTTGAGCTTACCTTAAGCATGAAGCAGAAGTCGGTGGGAGCTCTGTATTTCAGTTTGAAGTGCTTGGTGTTATAGATGTTGAATTTTTCAAAATGGACAAAGCAGACAAGATCGCTGGAAGACTATCGGAAAGAGAAGAGAAAAAGCTAATATTCAGAATGTCAGGGACAAATCTTAAAAGGACGAAATAAATGACAGTTTGGATTTACGTACGTGCGTTTTAAATGTGTACAAGATATGGTAATCAACTTTCAAGATCTTTTACCATTAAAAAGCTGCCAATCAGTTTTAAGATGTAGCATATGTTGGAGAAGTTGCATTGCTTGTCATCATTTTGTGAAGAAGTACTTGTTCTCAGCCTCATTGTGTGGTTGGTATTACAAATAAAGACACTTCAAAGAAGTGGAGGGCCAATAGTTTTTCTTTCATTTCAAGGGAGGCAACAATGAAGCTTCAAGTCAAGGGACACATTTGTTTTTTCTTTTGTAAAGCAGTTCAACTTTCCTTCCCTGTTTTGGTTTTGAGCAGAGATATTGTGTTCACACAATAAACCACACTGACAAAGGTGCTGTTTTACGGAAATCTACGAAGGGAAGCTTCAAGGAAAAGGAAGTAACCCGCAGACCTCTGGCTTCTGTTTTCTTTATCTCTCATGTTCTTTCTCACTTTATCTGGCACCTTTGTCCATTTGTCTTCTTCCATTAGCCAACACTTCCTGCTTTATGATCAAAGCTCCATCCCCCTCTTCTTCATAATATGACAGTAGCCTCTTCTCGTTCTGCTGATGATTTTTACTCTGCCTTATTCGGCCATTTCTATCCTTTCCAAATCTTCACCTTCTTCCTCCATGTGGCCTTGGCGTTGGATGATTGCTGCAGCGATTTGCACATCTGCTTAGCACAGTTTCCCCTCTTGGATGATTATTCGGATTTTTTTAATTTTTCAGCCCTCACTCACATGCTGCTCTTCAACAGCAGCTTGTACTCAATTCACACTGTCCATCTTAATTTATCGCTCTTTCTGCCTCTGTTATGCTTGAGCACTCAGATGTAAGCCATCATAGACTTCACACAGGGGGAAAACGTATCTTGTCTCTCTCTGTTTAAAGACTGCTGCTGTACTTTTCTAACTAAGAATAGTTAGGCTCTTTACTGCCTGGTGCCAAAAATGACCTAACCAAATGAGTAATAACCAGTTTTACTGTCATGGCAACAGCCCACTAAAAGGCTTTGTGTGTAGGAGGAGGTTTCAACCACACAGGTTGCTAAATAGCTCATCTCTAACCTACCTGTTCTCTCTTGAGCAACAACACATTGGTGTCAACAGTGCACTATGAACATGCCTGCATTTAAAGTGAAATATGATGTAGAATTCTTTAAATGCTCAACATTTTTATTTGTTTAGCCATACCTTTGTCTTTCCCTTGGGTACATAGTAGATGCCTGAGGCCCTTAGCACAAAGTAGCGAGGTTTCCAAACCTTTTTCCCATCTTCTTTGAGGTACAGGGTACCTTCAAGATCAGGAACAATCAGAGTGGAACCTCCAAAGTGCTCCTGCGGGGTCCCGGAATAGAGAAGAACATTAGTAGGTAAGTGTGAGGTAAAGCTGCGTGTAGTCTGCTTAACATGACCAGCAATTTGTCTTCAGATAGACCTCAAAGGAAGCATATATAGTGAAAAAGGGGGCCTGATATGGAGCCTTGTGGAACTCCACAGAAAATGGGTGCAGAAGAAAAGGACACACATTTAAATTCTAACAAAGGTTAATTTCTCTTGTAGTGTTAGAGTTCAAGGGCAGTCTTTGTGGGTAGAGTAATTTACTGTGTCAAAGGCAGTAGAGATGAACTAATTGAAACTGTGTGACTCAGACTCAGCGCTATGGTGACTGAAATTGTTCCAATGCACTTCATCCAGAATGTTGGATATTATTAATAGTAATTATTAAGAACAGACGGATCAGGTTAGGTTTATGACAGCTCGTTTAAAGCAAGATGGGACCTAGAAAAAAATTACCATTGAGTTATTTATTATTCATAAATTATATCAACTAGGTCCAAAACCTGTAAAGGTTGTATGAATTTCAACTTTCTCTCGTTTTGTGAAATGACACAAATAGTCTCATTAATAAGATGTGAGCATGGTACTGTAACTGACCTGAAGTAAGAGCTGTTTGGCTTGCTCATTAATTTTGCTCGAACATTCTTTCTTCTTTTTCCACATGTAAAATACCTTCAGGGGGAGAAAAGCATGGTTCATTATACCGACTAAGCAGAAGACAGTTTAATAACATTTTTGAAAAGGCAAGAGCACTCTTACTCACTTGAGGGTTTGTGAACATCACATACTTCTGAGGTCTTGAGACAAAGTACATTTTGTTTTCACTGAGACGAGTCCACGAAGACAGGGGCTCCACTACGTGTTCGTGGTCTTCAAAGCCTCTTTCTGAAATGTTGAAAACACATGTATATCCTGCCTCTGTGGAGATTATTTGTGGCATTGGTGTGTCTGTGTGTGTTCTTGTTCATCTCACCAATCTGCAGTTCAGGGTTGGTCTCACACAGGCTCCAGTCAATGCTGCAGTCGCAGTGTGTCTTCTCAAACAGCATGTCCAAAACCTCTCGGACTGTCTGTCTCTCATCCACCATCAGTATTTTGGAGCTGCCGTCACTCATCAGCACTTTTACTATTAACTAGGATAGGCAGCAAACTAAGTACATGTGTCTATCTGACTGAAAAGTGACTTAATACATAAACAGACCTGATCATTTTACCTTTCTCACTTTGGCTTCTTTCAGCTTTTCCAGTGCCAGTTTAAATTTGTCTGACTTTGTCTGTGGTTCGCTCTGGAAGCATAAAATGAGGAGGTTATCAGTTATCCTTTATTCTTTGAAATTACAACTTTGGTTTTCAAAAACAGTGACTGATTCTATAATTACCGTTTGCAGCCCTCCAGAGGATTCAACAGAGTTTGAAGGTGGAGGAAGGGCAGATGCTGCCATTTCATTATCTGCACAGCTGCCGGCCTGTTGATATGTGGGGAGGCTACATTCTGAGGTGGTTGATCTTGATGCTAGGTCAGCCATCAGAGCATCCAGGTCATGGTCCTCCAGTTCTTTAAGAGACTCTGTAAGGAGATAAGGAGTTGTGGCCTAAAGGTCAGAGAAGTAAAGGTGCCAGTCAAACTTCCCTTCCTGGTAACCTCACACAGATAACAAAACCTCCGTAGCCATTAGCCAAGCTAGCTGTTTCCCCCTGTTGACAGTCTTTGTGCTAAGCTAGGCGTCTCCTGGCTATACGTGTCTTTATGATACGCTATGTTTTTTATGTTACGTTATGTTACATAATGCTTCGTCATGTTAGGTTATGTAACATTATGTTATGCTATGTTTTACGTTCTGTTACAGTATGTTATATTATGTTTTTAATGTTACGTTATAATAATACATTTAATTTATATAGCACTTCTCATCTGCCAAGACAAATCTCGAAGTTATGTCATGTTACATCGTGTTTTGTTGCATCATGTTACGTTATGTTACGTCATGTTACGTTATGTTACCTTATGTTACGTTACGTTATATTGCGTTATGTTACATTATATTGCGTTATGTTACGTTATGTTACATTACGATATTCTACGTTAAGTTATGTTATATTACGTCATGAGCCTAAAGCTCTGCAGTGGGACGCTATTGAATCTATTTGTATTTCTTAGTCCTAACAACAGATTGTTGGCATCCTCCTTTATTTCCCAAACTGATTTATCTCAACCTCTTCAGAGGTTGGCGTGATCTTCTGGCACAAGAAAAAACAGACTCCCCCCATCTCCTAACAGAAACATAACATATTGAAAGACTGCCTTACCTTCCCCACTTGCATCATTTCTACATCACACATATTTTCAGGGCAGTGTGACTCTTGGTTATGTAACACAGTTGAACATCTACAGTTCTTGCTTTGAAAGAGAGCATTGTCATTTGAATGAGCATTTACCATTCAGGTCTGTGAAGCCAATGGAGAAGGTGCGCTCTGTCTGTAAAGCGCTGTCCACTTCAGTTCTGTCCGCTGATGGCATTAAACTCTGTAACAAAGCAATGAGATAATACATGAACAAAATCTCACACCATATGACCTTTGTATATTGTACAGCAAATAAACATTATTGCATCAAATGTTTCAAAATACATTTTACACAGAAGTAATTTGTATGACAGAAGCTTTTAATTTCAAATCAAAGAGCTGCCAAAATGGGCCATATGTGTCCTTGAACTGCTCTGAACTGTTGTTGGAAGAGGTTACATGAGCCTGTTTTGTATTAGTAGTTGTTTCCCTGTTTTTAATGCTCTGTTTTCAAGTTGGACAATTAATAGGGAAAATACCGCACTTGGCTTCTGCAACGACATAAATAACACTTCAGTAAGAAAAACTTATTTGTCAAGTGTGATGTTGCAAATTGTCTACATTTTCTTTTTTTGGAACAAGCTGTACATCCGGTGCATACATTGCACACTAGTGTCTCTATTAAAGAGCTTGAATATCATTGGAAAATGGCCGATATAGAGACTGCAATGTCTTAATTATTAACAGAAGTCTCTACAGGCTCAATCACATTCTTTAAACATGCTGGGATAACTGCCAACCTGTACACAAAATGATTGCTGCCAGCATGCAGTTTAACCCAGATCATTTCTGTCTGAACACACAACAAACTCTCCTTTTTGTCTTCTGGTTTCAAGGCGAGGAGTGGAATCACTTTAAATGCTTTTGTTTCTCAGACTCTGAGAGAATCAAGGCTTTAACCAAAATACTTTTCTTGCTAACATTGGTTATAGTCTGTTGGATGGTGTTTGTCACTGTGGTGGCTTTTCAAGAAGGCGCATGTCAAAGTGACATAGAGCGCTTTTCTGGTATGGCTGATGTAATGGTCCCATTCTCAGGGTCGCAGCTTACATAAAGAGATTTGAAAGGGCAAAAAATGGATTGAACCTCAGGCTGAGGTTGCATCAGTTGGGAGTAGGCTATGTCATGTTTTGCTTGGTGAGCCGTAGTCATATGATGAGCAGAGTATGTGTGCTTAAGGAAATCTGCAGCGATAGCCCACGTCCAATCCAGATGCGATGACTTCACGTCTCAGTCTCTCCTTAAATTTTTTCCGGTCAGAAGCTTCAGTTTCAACACAGAGACTGCCATGTGTAATCAGATAATGCACAGATTAGCGAAGTAAACATCGAGTGATTTGTCTGATTTACTTCCAGTAACTGGTTCCTACTTCAAAAGCACTGATGGAGCAGTCCTCCAGAATGTGAGAGTCTCAGCTCATCTGGTCATGTTTTGAGAAAGAATGCGACCAAAGATGTTTGACATCAGCTGTTGTTCCTTATAACTCCAGATTAACTGATGCATGATGTCTTGTCCGAATATCCCGGTAGATGGAGTTCGAAACTCATGGATGATTCGTACAAACTTTCAAACAGACGTGTTATGGTTCTCAGAGAAATAATCTTAATTACTCTGATGAGCCCTTTTCTTTTTTCCTAGCACCACATGGAGCTTGACAGTTTATAGTGGCAACTTCTGTGTCTGAAAAGTAAAGACAATTCGGAGGTGCCTTAAACCTGAATTATCTCTTATATCTATTTCCTATCTACAGTCTATGGTTTTGAGTGAAATATCTCAAAAACTCTCGTAAATTGTTAAACATTTTATGATCCCTTCACTTTTCATAGCGCCACCTTGTTCCTGTCTAATTACCTATTTAATTACATAATTGGCCAATATGTGTAACATGGTTGCTTAACAAACAGCATTAATGGTGGATTCAACATTCCTTTGTAAATTGCATTTTACGTAACATAACAATTGTTTGTGGACACTGTTTTCACCCCACATAATTTTTTATATAAGCATTTGTTTGTAACCTTTATTTAACCAGGTGAAAGCCCCTTGAGATCAAAAGATCTCTTTTTCAAGGGTGACCTGCAGGACATTAGTTACACATGTAACATAAAAACAACAGAACAACAATAAGGATGACATACAACATAATGTACAGGGTACAGTTTACAAACTCTATTTACAGAGACAGGTACCATGAGTATCAAACAGCATGTCACCCAGCTGAGTTTTAAAATGATGCAGGGGAACCAAAGTGCTCAGTTTTAAACATGTTTGCAGACTGTTCCAATTTAGTGGAGCTGCACAACTAAAAGCTTTCTTCCCTAAGACAGTCCTAGCACTTGGCACATTTAATAAAACAACATCATGAGATCTCAGGCAATAAGTACTTTCAATTCGTCGAGAGATCAGAGAGCAGATATAAAAAGGTAGTTTACCCAACATGGCTTTGTAAATGAACATGTACCAATGACTGAGCCTCCGTACAGTTAGTGAAGGCAGACCTGCCTTGGCATACAGGGTACAGTGATGAGTAAGTGCTTTACAGTTAGTAACAAATCTCAGGGCACTGTGATAGGCGGCATCTAACTTTTCCAGGCAATGGGCAGGTGCATTCATATAGATCAGATCACCATAGTCCAGCACAGGTAAAAAGGTCACAGTGACTAGCCTTTTCCTGGCTTCAAAAGAGAAACAGGACTTGTTTCTGAAAAAGAAACCTAGTCTAACCCTCAGCTTTTTAAGCAGGTTATTGACATGAAGTTTAAAAGTAAGACAATCATCAAGCCAGATACCTAGGTATTTATAACAGGTAACCACTTTGAGTACTTGTCCTTGCACAGTAACAATATCCAAAGCAGTGTCTGGTGTCTTTTTAGCTTTAGAAAAGAGCATTACCTTGGTTTTATCAACATTTAAAAGAAGTTTAAGTTCAGCGAGCTGAGTCTGAATAATGTTAAAAACATCCTGTAATTTAACACCAGCCTCCTTAATGGAGGGACCTGCACAGTACATCACGGTATCATCCGCATAAAAATGTAAAGTAGCTTCATCCACATTTTCACCTAAACTATTGATGTAGATGGAGAATAAAAGTGGACCTAAAACAGAACCTTGAGGAACACCATTAGCAATGTTTAACCACTCAGAAGACAGCCCATCAAAATGAACACACTGGGACCTTTCAGAGAGGTAGTTTACAAACCACCCCACTGCATGGCTGGATATGCCTATACTGAGTAGCCTCTGCTTCAAAATGTGATGATCAACGGTGTCAAACGCTTTGGAAAGGTCAATAAATAGAGCTGCACAACTCTGCTTATTATCTAAAATACTCGTAATGTCATTCACCACTTTCATTGTCGCAGTGATGGTGCATTCATCTTATAGCACTAGTGTACAACTCACCTGAGAGAGAGTATTCATCTCTCCAAGCAGGTCACTAAACATGGCGTCTATGTCGTCCATCTGAGAAGGGAGAAGAAGACATTTAGCAGGAATACAAACACAATGAGGACAGTTTACTATGGCAGACCACACCAGCAGGAACTGAAAAATGTGGGATATTTTCAGTTCTCTTTGATTCAGTTTCAAGCCAGTTCTTGAATGGATTGTCGTGCAGCAACTGGAAAACTTGGTATATAAACTTTATTGAAATGCTTGCGTAAGGCCACCAACATCTCCATAACAACATTTTTGCAGTAGACAAACAAACACTTTTGGACACATGCATGCTCAAGCACAAATACAGTTTGGATGTGTCTGTCACAGCTCTAAAAACCAATGAACAATATGCAAAAAGCAGCTTAATCCCTCCATGTAAAGAGCCCGGAAATGTGATATTTCTTCTCCGTCACAAGCACTGCAATGTGATGCCATTGCCATTTCCAAAAAAAGTCACAAATGAGTGTGTGTGTGAGCTGGTTAAAATGGTTTCCATGTTTCTCTGGCTGTGCTGTCTGAACATGTTGTTTTTATCGCCGTCTAGCAAAACCGATGAATCTCACCTTCAATAATCTCTTGAGCAAAGAGATTGTTGAATACAGTGCTATATTCGCGAAAATATGTCCCAACGGGAGAAAACAAACCCCCTAAATATGATTCCAAACCATCTCTGTAGTATTTGTGTGCATTTTATCTTAAATTAAAAGATGAGTATCACTAAAAAATATGGGTGGCAGCTCAAATATAAATAAATCACACTTTTTGAATTAATAATTGAAGAATTAAAAAAAGAGGGGCTTTTTTTAAGATCAAAGATGTTCTCTAACGATACAAAGGAGAACCCAGCGTCTGGGTTTGTCCATATGGAGACGGCACTTCGCCAGCTTTAGGGTCAACAATACATTGTGCATGTGGAGTGGCTTAAAAAGCTAACCGAAGAATGAGCTCAGTGTTTCTTGCCAACCCTTTGAGACTGTTGCTATGCACAGGTATCAATACCAATAGATACATGATAAAGCCACAGCAACATACATAGAAACAAGAAACCTTGCATACAAACAAAGGAAACAACTAATTTAGAGGCTGTATTAAGGTTTATATACAGCTATGCTCAACTGTTTCTTATCGGTATGTTAGCTTCTCACTTAACATTTTAGAGTTTTTTTGTGGACATGGTCCTACAATAAGCATAATAACTAGAAGCACATGATTGGACATTTAAACTGATATTATGTTCTTTGTTTGCATTGTTTTCATGTCTTTATACTTGTAATTTAATCATGTATGTAGACATGTGTAATGCAAGTTCTGTTTGTATGGTACCACTTGATAGAACTTGCATCTGTGACACATTTGGTTTTCACATTTGTATCCCTGTATCTCATTAAGTTGTTTTGTTCTATTCCTTAAATCTGTAATTCATTAACCAGGGTCTACTTGTGTTCGGTTCTTGCTCAGTGGGTGCTGGAAAAGGATCCAACTCCATGTGACCAAAATTAAAACTAAATACATAGCAGGCGTGTTAAGTTCAGTGAAGCCAATTAACCTAAAACTAAGAATGGTTGTTTTTCCGTGGGCTTAGAGGAGATTTTCACATTTTCCCTGGAATGACAAAGTTGCTTTTGTACTCGTTGCCTTCATTGGTAGGATGAGTTGGGTGAGATTGGTTAGGGTTAGGGTTAGACAATGGTAAGTTGTGTCGTTGTTATCCTACCACATCCACATAGGAAGCATGTATTTTACTACTATTTTGGACCTCCATGTTTTCACAGTAGCCAAGAACAACAAACCAAACACTGATTCTAGAGGGTTAGGGTTAGGCCTTTCTGTTTTTAGGTTACTTGAAGGCGAACTCAGTATCTCTTTGTTTTTTTTTTCTTCAAACTTCCAATATTTCCTCTCCTTATAGCTCTGTTTTGAATTGTACCGCTGTAAAAATATAATATTGATTATATACTGATGGCTCCCACAAGATTGCTGACATCCTTTTGGATTCATCTTCTTCTTATAGACACATGCATTTCCAAACATTTGGACTACCTATGTTGTAAATGTATTATCTTTTCAATTTACACACGGCATCTATTGCATGTCTGTCCGTCCTGGGAGAGGGATCCCTCCTCTGTTGCTCTCCCTGAGGTTTCTCCCATTTTTCCCTTTAAACTGTGGGTTTTCACTGGAAGTTTTTCCTTGTACGATGTGAGGGTCTAAGGACAGAGGGTGTCGTATTGTCATACTGATATTCTGTACAAACTGTGAAAACCACTGAGACAAATGTAACATTTGTGATATTGGGCTATATAAATAAACATTGATTGATTGTTTGAATATTAACTACTGCTGCTCTATTCTTGAGCTCATTTAAAATCATTCAAATTAATGATCACTAAATGAAAGATACATGGTTTTGACTGGGGAGAAAGGGTATAAAAAGTTACATCTAAAAAATGAAGCAATCTTACAGTTATGGTGTAGTCAAAAGTACAAAATCTGCCAATTGTGGTATAGCTGTATATATCGGCTCAGAAAGAGTGAATACATTCTCAGAAGTGAAATTGTAAATATGCGCCGGGCAGAGTAGACATCTGTTTGGCATTGTTTAACTTTACGCTGATATATTTTACACATTAAAGCTGCAGGCCGAGGTATGCAAAGTGCATATTCTGGCCTGTATACGTTAAGTCATCTGTTGTGTGACGTATATCAATTCAGAGGCTCTGTCCGGGTCTTTATCGCTTTAAGTACCACTTGTTCTTCTTTATATAGGTATACATATGCAGACTAATGTGCATACACACAAACAGAAATACATACAGTGCTGCTCAGTCTCATTCTGTGTTTATGTAAAACGGTAAACATAGCCTCCATTAAACTGTAATGAGGTAAAGGGGAAGTGGTAGGGCTAAGTATTGCTTCCATATGAAAGTGACATTTGTTAATGTGAACTTTACCTTTGTTGCCTCTCAGGTCTTCTGCCACATATTTGAAGGTCAACTTCTGTAACTTCTTTCTCATTCTTATACATATCTATTTAATTACTTATAACCCCAAGCATTTGCCCATCAAAGAAAGCGTTACAAAACGACATTTGTTTATGAATACCATGCTCTCATAGGCCATGTCACATTGTTGCTGCCGTCTCCCACTGTGGTCTCACACATCAACAAATGGAGGAGACGCCAGCAGACCATGCAGCAGACAGGCAGGCAAACAAACAAACAGGCGGAGGGACCAAAGCCTGAGTACAAAAGGCTATTTATTAAGACTTATATGCATGAAAGGAATCAGAAAGCATTTCCTGCTGACAGTCAACGAACATTTATGGTATTTTCCTGTGGTTGACAGCTTCTTACTGTTTTCTAATTAGTTGCATAACCGTCCATTGGCGTCTGTGGGGAGACATGTGTTTGTCCTCAACAAAGCTGATTTATCTGCTCAACTATTTAACTGTTACAGGAAGTAACACAAGGGAGAAAGATATTAAGGCTGCAACCAATGATTACTTTCATTAATCTGATGTTTTATTTCACAAATATTCGATAAAGCGACTTATATTGGTTTATCAAAATGTTGGATAGGGGCGCCGTAAAGCTCAATTTGTAGAGCTTGCGGCTATTGGGAAGAACGGAGTTCAAATCTGGCCTGGCACCATTTGCCACATGTCATTCCCTCGGTTTCCCTTTTTCAGTTCTGCCTCTACAATAAAGGCACTGGTTGCCCTAAAAAATCTTTACAAAAAAACAAAACTCTGGAAAATGTCCATCCTAGTTTCTCAAACTCCAAGGTAATAGGGGTGTAACGGTTCACAGAAGTCACGGTTCGGTTCGTACCTCGGTTTGGGGGTCACGGTTCGGTACGAGTTCGGTACAACAAGAAAAAGCAAAAAAAAGTCCCAAATGCATAATTCCAGGTTTGTTATTTATTTTTTAACAGTAGTGCAAGTTTCAGTTTAAAAATAAGGAACTCTGACATTTTGAATAATTAACTGTATTAAACAGTTAAAAACAAACCACAAACAGAACCACACACACTCAGATGGCCATATTATCTATAATGGCTGATGTCAAACAAAAAAGTTTCATTAAGCTGTAAAACTAAAAAGAATGTCTTGAAAATATTACATCATAAATAATAAGAAAGTGTTTCAAGAGCGCAAAGTCATTGAAAAACATATGCCAAAAGCTTCCGTTATTTATTTTGGTCTCACCGCTTTCATGTCTATTGGTTTCTTAAAAACACCGGGGATAAGCTGTTGAACTGCTGTTTAGTGATGTTACATATATTCAGAGGCTCTGTCCGGGTCTTTATCGCTTTAAGTACCACTTGTTCTTCTTTATATAGGTATACATATGCAGACTAATATGCATACACACAAACAGAAATACATACAGTGCTGCTCAGTCTCATTCTGTGTTTATGTAAAACGGTAAACATAGCCTCCATTAAACTGTAATGAGGTAAAGGGGAAGTGGTAGGGCTAAGTATTGCTTCCATATGAAAGTGACATTTGTTAATGTGAACTTTACCTTTACCGAGGCTTCGGAGCGTGTGTCGAGTAATCCCCGAAGCTTTTTGTGAAGCATGTATCGAGGCTTGTATCGTTTTGGGCCAGTGACGTCATCGATGACAAACGAAGCCTCGCTGCCACGTGACTGCTTCAGGAAGCGATTCAGATCGGTTGAACCACAACGCTCATAATACCCATGGATGTATAATAAGAACCATATTACCCCTCCTGTACCCGGCGGGCCCGGTGACACGATGGAAACAAGAGAGCTCAGACCCTCACTTATAGAGGTCGGAACATGTCATAATAAATAGATACAAGCATAAATAAATGTAGGAATAAAAACATCAATAAATACAGGAATACATATGGTGCAGTGTTTTCAGGGAGCTTTAGTGTGTGTGCTGTGGCTCAGCTGGAAAGCAGTTGACTCATGACCAAAGGGTCCCTGGTTCAACGACTGAACAATACGTATTTGTTGTTGTTTATAAAAGCTACAGCTAAATGAGATAATGTAGTTAATAAATGTATTCTTTGATATGGTTTAGCCTTTCTCAGGCTACAACATGGTTAAGTTTATGAATATTATTAAGGAATACAAATCCCTCTTTGCAATGTTTACCAGCCTTCTTAGGCTTTTCAATCACAATCATTAAACTGGAATAAATACAATATTGTTAACATGAAAATATGATGTTATGTTCGTTGTTTAGATGTATTCTAAGGCTTTACTCATTGGGAACTCGGTATGAGATGATGGAGCACACTGTTGAGATGTCCAACCTGCCTGTTTTACACACTTTGACCAACAGGGGGGTTTGTGTTCAAATGAAGCCCATGATGAAGCCTCATGAGATGAACCCTTTTGCGAACCAATTGGCTGGAAAGCTTCAAAGCTTCATAAGGCTTCATCTCGCCATCACTACTGCTGTTGTCTTTTGCCGGGCTGACATGATTTAGCATGTTTGGCTTGTGTTGCCATTAGCATACTGCACCGCTATCGAACAACGCCGACACACCGTCCTCGTCCGATCCACCACTCGCTCACTTCATCGTTATTGTAGTCCACAGGGAACCCGAAATGTTCCCACACAGCTGATTTAAAAGAAGCAGGTGGGTTCTAGCTCCTGTGTGTTATCTGAAATCGCCATACTAACTGTTCTTCTTGTATTTTGTTCGTTTTGTTTCTTCTTATTCTTCATTTGTTGTTTAAAGGAAGGCTCCAGTCATTAGATAGTTAATCAAAACTTCAGTATTTAGTGAAACATTATGTTTAAACCATACCCTGAAGAAATCAGCGATATTCCCCGGTAAATAATGATTTTATAGCTCTTTTTTTATCAAAACCTGTATATTCCGTCAGGCAGCTGCCATTTTGGCCATTTTCAGTAGTCACATGATCCGAAAAACTAGGTCGTGACGTCATCTATGCGTTCACTTTGTAAACACACGACAAAAACATGGCGGAGTATTTGAGTTCGGACTCGTCAGCCGAGGAAGAAGTTTAGAAAAATAAAGTCCAGGCGGACTTACTTTGAATTATCACTATAGGTATTCATTCCATCCAAATACAACTGTAAAAAAAATAAAAAACATACTCTGTTATCCTCTTAGGCCCCACGGACCCGGTTCCGGGGCCGAAATCGTAATTTGCAGGAAACAACGTCTAAGGAACCTTAATATTTAATAAACTATGAATATTTTATATCCATATAACGGGAAAAACTAATTTAACTGATCTTTTTCATTTTTTTCTTTAAAAAAAACACACAATGCTAACAGTGAGCCTCTGAATTAGCCCCGAGCGAAAAATGCTAACCTATTACTGCACCGAAAATCACTCCTAGCTCCCTTATTACTTATCCTAGCTCCACATCCAACACATTGTTTATGATCGTAAAGACACAGAATCTAACGGTGCTCACCTCAACACTGAAAGATACAAACTCACGACGTTATCAACAAAAACGTACATCAAAACAAGTGGCGCTAGGTACTAACATGCGCTAGGCTAACATGGCTTACCTTGGTCTTTGTCTGGTCTAAACTGGTCTTCAATGGCATTACAACGATAAAAACGATGATGTAGTTAATCCATAGGTTAATATCCAATGTGACTGTGTCCCCTTTGAAATGTTCTGATAATCTATAAGCAATAAAACTGCAATTCCGTTATCTGCTGTCCGCTCTGTGCTCCGTGCGCTCTGGGTCCTGCAATTCCTGCTTCCTTACGTAGTAAACAATAAGTAGAGTCTTCTGCGTAATGTGCTTACGCTGGCTGGCATTGGCAGTGCACTACATCCCCATTAAGTAATGGTTGATTAATAAATCCCATTTTACTCTACTCTCAGAGTAGTCGTCCGGAAACTTGAAATGTTCGCTGCATACATGCGCCTGTGGATCTTTCGGTTCGGGCCGAGCACATTTCGCTAGCCACTGCCTCCGAACGTACTTCCTACGCTTACCCGTTGGCAATAGATGGAACCGAGCATTCCGTGGATTGTTCCTATCCGAATTGTGGCAATGTTTCGCGATACAATGAGGCATATTTCTATAGAATTGAGAGAGTAACTAGAGTACACAACATGAACAACGCACATACGTCAATTTGTCCTCGACACCAAACGCATAGTTCACGTCACTTCCGGTAAAATAAGTCATGTGACTCGTCAAAATGGCGCCGCCCACAGGGTTGATGTCATTTCGGTAATTAATCAGTTTAAAATCACTGATAACTTCATCGGATTAAAAAAAAAAAAAAAAAAGACTGGCAGAGACTGGTCTGTTTTATCGGATGATAATTATTTAAAAATGCGTGTCATGAGCATTCCCTCCCTTTAAGGGCGGCTGGCAAACAGCTTTTAGGCGCAATACCGTCTCCTGGATTATAAATAGTGTAATGGATACTGCCCTGAATGACAGACTTTTTTCCCACTCGTAAAAAAAGGCGTATTCGTCGTGTGACTGTATGTGCCGAATCGTGACGGTAGGCTACGGGACGAATACGGATACCGTTACACCCCTACAAGGTAATGTCTTGTTTTGTCAGTCCCAAACCCCAAAATATTTAAATAATATAAAACAAAAAAAAGCAGCACATTTGAGAGGCTGATAAAGTATTTTCTTTTTTTAACCAAAATGTATGGATCATCAAAGTAGATCATTTTACTGTCAATCGACCAATAGATAGGTAGATATGGTTGCAGGTTTTTAAATTATTGTTCTAGATTCAGCATTAGCATATTAGTATTTATTTAATTTACTATGTAGTCCCCCACAAAGAAAAACATTCACTTTCATTTAAAGTTCTTACCTTTTCTGTCTCTTTCACACTTAGGAGCATCATGGAGTGTCTTAGTTGACTCAACAGTCAGGGGTCAGTCTATAGCAGGGGTGCCCAACCAGTCGATCGCGATCGACCGGTCGATCGCGGGGAGATTCCCAGTCGATCGCGAGATGTGTCTAAAAATAGAACAACAATATTCAGTTTTATCGTTAATGTCCGATAACATAATCTTCCTGTGCCAGAATAATGCACTTGAACGCATCAAAGCTTTGTGATTGGCCGTGGCTGGTGGGCAGTGGGCAGTGGCAGTAGCAGTAGCATAAAAGCCCAAAATATATAATTTTCACTCCGAGTGGGAGGATGATTATTTTTGTATCTATTCCAATTCAAAGTCCATCTGTCTCATCTGCAATGCGAGCGTTGCTTTATCGAAGAAGGGTCATTTAGAAGCGGCATTTCAAAACAGTGCACAAACGCTACGAGACGGAATTCCCTCCTAATTCTGCCCTACGCTCCCAAAAGGGGAGGGGCCTGAAAGGACAGCTAAATGCACAGCAGTCCATTTTCACCAGGCCCAACAACAAGAGCAAGGCTGCTACCATAGCATCTTATCGTGTCAGTCACGTTCTTGAGAAACACATGAAGTCTTTCAAAGACGGCGAAGTTGTGAAAGAAGCATTCCTGGAGGCTGCGACGTGCTTTTTGGGGACAGTAAAAATAACAGATGCATTTCAACAGGTTTTTGATATAATAAAAACTCCAGTTAGATACCGTTATTAATCAGCTGTAAGTTTTAGTTTGTTTGAACTTATTCATTATAATTATTGTACAAAATGGTATAATAATGCAAACTTAAATTGATTATAGTCTATTATCAATTCAGGTTAAGAAACTAGTGTTGCTTGCATCCTATTTTAAAAGGCATTTATGTTTATATTCTACTAAAATGCATCAAAAAAGGGTTTGATTCTATTAATGTTGTCTTTTTTATTGCACTTCGGCAGCAGATTCCTGTGTAGCTTATTACATTATTATTATTATTATTATTATTAGTAAGCCTAATTTATACTTTTGTGAATAAACTCCAACTCTGTATCAACAACACTGTTGTGCAACTTAAGTTAAATACTTGTATTTGTACTTGGATTAGAAAGAGGTAAGATAAAGGATCTGCAGTATTTTATGAAGTATTAATTGTACAAAGGTCAGCTTTATACAAGTAGAAGTGTGTATTTACCTGGTAGTAGGCTGTCAGTAATGGCTACGCCTCTCTATTTGGACTGGTAGATCTCGGCAGACCGGCAACTTTAAAGTAGCTCTCGGTTCAAAAAAGGTTGGGCACCCCTGGTCTATAGTTAACCACATGATCACGTGACGACACATGCACTGCCTCTAGCTTCCGATTAAATAAGGAAGTAGGCTAATTTGTATTTCTGGTGAAGCAGAGTGAGGTTTACTATTCTAATTATATTTCTGCACATATATGGTACTGACCATGATGTTCTTGCCTCTTCACTTGTTTTCTCAGAGCCCTACACCGTGATGGTAGAGTTGTGGCATTATTGATTTACAAGTTCAGGGAGTTTGGTGATATCAGCAAAAAAAGCATGTATTTTTAAAGTTAGAGGCTCAACACTTTTTTATATGGCTGAGCTTTTACATTTTTTTTTAATATACAACTTTTTTATCTCCTACATTATACTGCTCTTTTAAAACTCCTTTGTGTTTATTTCATATCTTGCCTAAGATGCAGTTTTTTGTAAGGCATAAGTCCCTTTGCATTGCAATGTTATTGTAAGGCGCTATAATAATAAACCAGCCTTGGCTTAATGAGCTATAATCAATCAGCTTAACAGGAAACACCTGTGTGAGTTACCATGGTTGACGTGAGGTAATGCAGCATGTAGTGGCCTTCTGAACAACAACATTGGGTGAAATTTAAAATAAGATAAACTTGCTCTGTGGAGAAATTAAAAGTCACAACAGAGTACATATAAAGCAAGAGATAGGCCTACACAGGAAGACAGCTTTTAAACCAGACCTTTGGTGTTGCGGTTCCTCCTATGCAGGCCCGCCCCTCCCTACAAGCAGATCACACAGACTGCATGGGGCCTCACCTCGCGGAGGGGACCTCACCTCAGCTAGAAGTTCGGTGATTGGATTGTTTAGCTGCAATGCAAGTTGGGATATGGTGTTTATGCGATATGAAATCCGAAAAACATTTATAAAAAAAATTAAATAATACTTTATTCCGAGTGTTCTTGCTTTTCTCTTTGAAAGTCATCACATAACGGCATTGTAATACACGGTTCGGCTGCATTACATATTACACATCTGCCGTAGTTCTCTATTTATAGAGCCCTGATTAGAAGACTTCTAGACAAACTGGAAGAACTGCCATGGAAACTGAATATGTGACGTGGATCATAAATATATCAGCAATTAAACAACATCTTCAATTTCTCTTCACACAATATGTCTCCTTGCAGTATCAATACTAATTCGGCTGACTTTTATATTTGATCCAATTGGTAGATAAGTTATATTTACACCATAACGGTGCACAGCTGCTAGAAAAGGACTTGTAGTTTTTAAAGATATTACTAATTTTCTTTGATTATAAGAATGTGAATACTGAGTTGAAAGAATAGTCAGGGGTTTTGGGTGATGGGAGACACACCTATGGATTAAGAATTTCAATAGCTTACCATTAAACGACGGATATGGCTTTCTGTCTGTGATGTTTTTACAAATCAGTTATTAGAAGTAAAACATGTGAAATAATATAGCACTATCCTGTACAATTATGTGAAAACATGAATAAAACTACACATCTTCAGATGTTATACATACACAAGTGTCCTACACTAATAATACAAAGTTATTATGGCATTGTATGCTGTGTGTACCTTGTCTGCACCGCCTAGAGCACGTTATTGAATTAGTTGTGCACTGATATGTCAATAAACCTTAGAAAATCTTGAAATCTTGAAAGGGATGTGCAAAATAGCCATTATATACAGTCTTTAATTAACTATTAGTAGAGAATAACAAGTAATGAATATGCTTTATAGAGATCTGCAGATACATGTTTAGTCTTCTCAAGCACCAACTATCAAATATCTCTCCTGATTGTTGGCACTTGACAATCACCTTCCCTGAATTTTACTGGAGTGCAACTAAAGCCTGATTTAAGGGTTGTTTATATTTCACATCATTAATCAGAATCTGCAAAGTAACTAAAATAAATGTAATGGAGTAAAAATACCAGGTTGGTTAACCTCTGAATTGTAGTGGAGTAGAATTACAAAGTAACAATGAGCTGTCATGTGGGTATATATTAATGCTGCGCATTATGTACACAAGCGATTTTCACCCATTTATTAATTATATGTTTTAAATTTGTACACACCAATTTGTTTCCTATCGCCTAAACCTCGAGGGCTGTACACAGTTTAATACTGTCAACTTCTAATTTTGGGGAAAACGTCTTTTAAAACTACAATTCCCAGTAGAGACGTGCCATAGAACATGTTGCGAAACACAATAGTCAGCATGTGTAGTTCTGTGGTTTCGTAATCTTTCGAAGATTAATCACGGGGGCTGTAGTCCCAAACGATTGCTGGGGATTATGGGTAATGTAGTGTCTTCGGCCATCCTAAACTCCGAAATGTTTTTCGGATTTCATATCGCATTAACACCATATCCCAACGTGCATTGCGGCTAAAACATCCAATCACCGAGCTTAAACCATAGCTGAGGATCTTGAGTAATCAGTTCAGTGGGTGTGTATCGCAATGATGCTCGAAATGTCCCATATAGGCCTATGTCTGTTTCCGGTTATTTTTATTTTGAAATTCAGTTCCTGACGGACGCCAAAAAAGCCAGAGATTATGGAATTAAACAAATAAATAAAAACAAGGATAATTGTGTGTTATCTTTTTAGAAAAGAATAACAAATTAGAAGGAAAAAAAGATTAAAGGAAATACAGATTTCAGTATTCTGAGGCTCTGAGCCCCATTTATTTTCCTCACAGACGACAAAAAAAGTCCGACATTATACGATTTAAAATAAAAACAATAATCAGCCTCAGTAGCAATGATTTTGTCATGCAGAGAAAGCACATGTTTAAGGTAGGGTAGGTAAGAATGAGGAAACCAGCTCAAGTGCGCTAGAATTTGAAAGTACACAACCGAAACAAATCTGCCCCTTCCTTCAGACTTCCTTACAGAGCCCCTCCTCCAACACACACGAACGCGCACATGACCAATGAGGGCACGAGATAAGTTTGTGTACAGATGGAAGGCTGACAGGCAGGTAGGCCATCCAATTATCTGCCGCGGGCCGAGGCAGATAATTCGACTTGCATGCTTTTTACAGCGCCACGGCTTCCACAGATGAAATATTTGTATATATTTATTGTCAAAGCATTTCATGTATTCATTGCTATCGGGATGTTAAGAGCATTCCATGGAATATAACAAAAAGTGTTTCTGAAGTGAATTACCTACCCTACCTTTAAAGAAACATTATTGACTGATACATTTTGTTTGGTTGTTCGAGTTATGGCACATTTCCACTGCAGCGGGGTAGCCCCGTTTAAGCGTCCCTAAGCGTCCTCGCTCAGGCCTCGGGCTGCCTCGCTGGCCGTCCGAGGCCGTGGCGCATTTCCATACAGTTTAGGACCTGGGGTAGCAACGCAGTGTAGGCGGGGCGATCGGCTTTTTGGCGGGCTTTTTGGGCGGAGCGACGCTGAGTAAAAACTGCAGTGGCGTCATCTTCAATGCGACACAACTCACACAACAATGGAGGATGTGGAAGCGATCGTTTACTTGTTTCTTGGTGTGTGGCTTGTTAACATGATGTGCTCTGCATAACCTCTGCGAGAGTCATGGAGATGGGTGGAATGCACCAGCAGCAGAGCCTGGGGTAGCAGTGGCTCAAGGTGCAGAGGAGGAGGGCACTGACATCAGAGAGGGTTTGATGCGCTACCTGAATACCTAAATATGCATTGTATTGTATTCATTGTATTGAACATAAATAAATCTTTTTTTTTTCATATACATGTGTTTGTCAAATGTTTTAAACAAATGTTATCTGAATTGAATATTTAGTAAATATTTGAATTTCAAGCACCAGTAAGAACTGCCCCACAATAAGAACATTTGAGGAAATATCAGATCATGAAAAGAAAATCTTTCTAATAAATTAAGCGAATATCAAAGCTAACTATAAACATAAATACTAAAGTGTAAAACACAGCAAAACTATATTCATAAATGCAAGTGTAAAATAGTGTGGACAATTGTAAACATGGATGGAGGCTAAAGTATCCACAACATAAAATAATATATTAAAATATAACCTCAATCTTTCTTCTAGACATGTTAAAAGCTTGCTTGAATGGGTTATAGGTTTCTTCTTTTGTTCTCTCGTCTTTGAAATATATAAGGAATGTGTTGTTTGAGTCTAGTAGAACGAGGGTATTACAATTGAGCAATTTCTACTACATGTATTATGTATTTATCATGTATTCTTACTATTACAAAATAAACATGTAATAATGTTTTAGAGGAGGACCTCAAGCTAGCAAACTCAATTTCTTGCTTTAAATCTCTTAAAACTAACTTATCTTATGGGCTTTTTCCTAACTGATGGTGTTTGTTATTGCTTTATAAATTCATGTAGGTTTATATCTTCTCTAAATCAAGATTATGTGAATCTGTACTTTATTGATGGCAGTATAAAAATACAAAACATTTTTTTTATCAAAAAGGCATGCCATTAAACAATACAAATAAAACATGTAAAACTGTATTGCAGCCAGCATAAATATACATGGCATTGTAAAAATAAATATAAAATGCACATTTTAAAGAAAATAAATAAACAAGAAAGTACAAATGTTGCATTTAAAAATTAACTAGATAAAAAATATATAATATGTACAATAACTATTAAGGTTATTTGAAGTATCACGGAGGAGACGGGCCACGTCGGCTGCCCAGTCCCCCTAGCACCTCGCCAAGAGTGCGCAGGAAGGCTAGGTTGAAGGCAGGCCCGGTTCTACGGGGGTGCATAAGGGTGCATTGCACCCTCAGTTGAGTCGTTATGCATCCTCATTTGAAAAATGAAAAGTGAAAAAAAATAAAAGTGAAAAGTGAAAAATATTACATATATAATAATAATAATAATAAGAAGAAGAATTTAGTTGAAATAAAATCAATTGTAATTGTGGTTAAATAACATTGTTTGCTGCATTTATTTGGTCAATTTAAACGGTAAGTA